AAGCAATTAAGTACTGAGCATGTATTTGACCTCTAAAAATTCACAGAGTTTTCTGCAAATACTACTTAATTTTACCTTAAGGCATTAGCTTTCCCTCTCACGTTAGCCCTGAGCAATGTAGAATTTCATGCCTATAAAGTATTCTTTGCAGGCATTTAGAAGCCTCACAGAATTTGGATTCAAATTTAAAATTATTACACAAAAAAGCAGGCATGCTTTTCTCCCAGGTTAAGTATGGCTTAATTGCTAGAATGAGTAGAAATAGCTTGATTGTTGACATGGCCTTTAATACAGGATAAAAACTATTTAATAGTGCCATAAGCTTATTTTGAAAGGGTATTAGGAATCTTGTGTTCTTAAGCTTTACCTACATTTTGTGATAACACTAAAGTCTCAAATACTAGTGTATTCCATAAACTCTGCAATTCAAGAACTGCAAAAAATGTTTGCATAGGAATGTCTGTGATGGGTGTTGCATCAGGAAAATTTGTGCTCTGACAAAATGAAAATAGTGTAAACTAGATTCTTTTGCCATCTTGCCCTTCCTCAGTTCTTGTGGTAGTCATCTTCTGTCTGCATTTCCTTCCCTTGTAATGAACAGAAAAAATAGGTACATTTAGGATACCGTATGATTAACTCCAAGTTCATGGAAACGTTTATATACACTTTTGCATTTTGACTTCTAGTGTGCATAAATTAATTTGGCAAACAATATGCCCCAATCTAACATAGCAAGGGGAGTCCTTTGTGGTGTTTCAAATAATTGTTGATATCTGAGCTGTGTGCATGCTGTTTAATTTAGATAAGAGGACTTAAAACTGCACTGAAGGAAAAGTGTTGATTAGTTTTATTTTGTATTGCTTTGAAGTTATGATCCATAGTAGTTTCTATTATTCTATAAAATGGACCAAGTAGGGTAATTAACACTTAATACCATCTGTTCCCAGAATGCTTTCAGAATGCATTAATGTTATCCCACAAATTCTGGGCAACACTGTCAAGATACCAGTGAAGTCCTTCATACCCCTCTTGACTGCTCTTTTAAACACTATCTAAATACATTTTTTCAGTTTAGATTCTACCTACTCCATCCCACTTGAAGCATTACTGGTTTGTTCAAATGTTTGACCGACTTGCTGTCTTAGCCATGTAGCTCTGAAGTCAAGCAGAAGGTACAACAGGCTGGCAGGTTAGAGTAACTTATTCAGAGGCATACACATTCATTAGGTGACAATACTTCACCAGAAGCATCTAGGTAGGCTGTTGCCTACAAAAGCTTATGCCTCTGAATGAGTTAGTCTTCAAGGTGCCACCCTACACTACCTTATTGTGCTGTTTCTAATGCAAGCAGCTCCCAAAAACTTGAAAATGAGTTAGCTGCAGTTTATCTAATTCAGCTCATTTATTTTAGCTGCAGCCAATTCATTTTAGAAGCATCAAAGAAGAATCCCCTTCACAACTGCAACAACTAGCCCTGAAAGCCAAATTCTACACTGGAACATTCACAGTTCACTTTCATCTCAAAAGGAATATGGAGAGTGAAGACAGATTGGCAGCTTATTGGGTTAAAAAAAATATTTAAACAGACATTTTAGTTTTTCAACCCAACTTCTCACTTTATAAAGGAACTGCACTGATACTGCTCCAACTGCAAGGACAGACTCAGTCTTTTCAGAGAAACTGCATTACTAGAAGTATTGTATGCTACTGCATGCTTTGAACTGATTTACTCTCCTCACTTTTGATTTAAGATCTAGCCTCCTTTGCTTTAAGCAATCTAGCAAAATGCCTAGAGGTAGTGTTAGAAGTATTCATGCCCTGGTACCAATACATCCATCTGTATGTTTCAGATGAACTCTCTGGTAAAGGCTTATAAGCCTAACTGATTTAGGAGTTTGTAAGTCCCGCCTTAAGTCCAATTTTACTCTGTCAGTCGGTTACCCCTATACTGCCATACATACCCTTTAAGTTACCATATACATGAAGTACAAACATTACTACATCAGAAATTTACCTAAGGTAGGGATGCTGTGCAGTGGTTAGAGCACATGACTGGAAATAGTCCAGGTTCCATTCTTGGCTCTGCCACTGACTTGCGGTATGACCTCAGGCAAGTCACTTTACTGCTCAGTTTTCCCATCTGTAAAATGGGGAAAATACTTCTTACCTACCTCACAAGGGTGCTGTAAGAGTTAATGTTTGTGATATCACTTAGCTCTTTGGATGAAAGGTTATGCAAATATACAAGATGAATATGAAGAATTTTAGAATCATGATCCAAAAACTTTGGCATCCAAACTTGAAACCTTTACAGTTATTGACAAATCTATGATACTTAGAAAGGTGAGGACAATAAGCAAACAGATTGAAGCCAATTTATGAAGGGACTTTACAATGACTAAGTTTAAAGAACAGAAAACCAAGCTGAATCTAGAGATATGCTATAGTGAGCAAATAAGCCTCTTTTACATGGACTAGTCTATCATAAGAAAATCTCTGAAGCTCTAGAGAAACAAAGCAGAGGAACCAATATATTTTTCTTCATTTTTTCTTCTGACCTAAAATATTCTGTTCACAGGATTTTGCATGTGCAGGCTGATAAGCCGTCCACATCAGTTCTTTCCAAGAAAGATGCTTTCCTCAGTAAAGTTTACACAAGGAAATGAAAGGCAATTTAAAATTGCATTTTATAACTTATCACATCAAAAGGTGGTGAAGCACTGAGGAAGTCAGCACACTTTCAGAAGCCCTTGTGAAAAAAGCCTCCCAAAATGCATGCCTGTTCTATAGTAAATATTTCCAGGAAAAATCACCAGAAATTGTAAGGCACTTTCTTACAGGCAAGTGTGACGTGTCAAAGTTATACAGAATGCACACACATGTTGATAGGAATAGGAAATGCACTTTGTATTTTCTTATGAAAAAAAGTTTACTCTTGCTAGTATGGAAATTGGCTAAAAAGCTAAAGCTCACAAAAAACCCAAACACATCAGGTAAGAGGTTCAGTGATAATATCCAATTAAAGGAAAACCCACAAAACAATACTTCTGTTCTCAGTCACCCAGAAGTACATAAATTAGGTATTTTAACTCGTGTTCTGGAGCCCAAGTCTCTAAATTCTTTTGGTTCAAGGGGCAATTTTATCCTGAAGGTTCACATGTGGATAGAATATGCAGGTTTAATAGACTTTTTGGTGTTTAGAAAATTTGGAAGAAGTGTGCATGTTGTCATAGTTAGCTGACTGACTAGCTCACTAAATCCTGCGTGTCTACACAAAGAAAACACACTTATGATTTCCTTATGCTTAACTATAGTTCTATTAGTGGAGGTCAGTGAACATGCACATCATACCTACCAGGTCTTTCATTATCAGCAAAATTTTAAAAAGCTTAAACAGCTGGTAAAGAAAAGAGAAATGAACTGTATTCAGCAGGCTGGAGAACGGCTGGAGTCTGAATACTCTGGAAGTGAGTCAAAGCTTAGTTTAATATTAAATTCAACCAAAGTTCTCTGCTGCTTATAGCTATTCCTTTGCTATTTATCTTCACCAATTCTGCTTCCTTTTCTTATAGCTTTCTTCATCTGTTTATAGGCCATACTGTTTACTTTTCACCATCTTTCACCTAGTCTCAAACTTTTCTTGGAATTGTTTTGCCAAAGGCTTTAACCAGTGTCCTCCACACCATTTCAAATATGCCAGTTTTAAAAAGTTTGTGCTTAAATTTAAAATATGTCTTATTATTTGAATATCCGGCACCAAGAAAGTCTTTGTAAAGCTGTTTCCCCCAAAAGATGGAAGAAATCTTTAGTCACTGCTCTTTCATCTCAAAGTCCTTTATAACCATTGCCCAACCAAATCCTCGTTAAGTTCTGCACTCCAATTTCTACTTGCATTTTCTTTTCCCTTCCCTTTCATATGCCACTTACACTTCTCCTTGCTGAGTTTATTTTAAAAGCATTCCAACAAGTTTCTCCATTTTATTAATAAAAAAAGTCAGACTAGGCTGTGGAGTATGCCACTCCTGGGAGTGCAGCTACACAACAGTGAATCTTGAGCCAATTTAGAATTCTTACCTCCCCATGTACCTCCTACTTGTGGCGCAGTGGATATAGGATGTACAGGTGGATGAAAAGTTGGCTGCATATCAAGCAGATCATTTGGCAGCTTTGATGTGCTAGAGACAAATTAGGACAACAGTTTGAACTATATCAAATAGTTTGATACAAAAGGCAACGGCAACATTATTGTAGATATTGTCAACTACTACAAACAGATTCATTCAGTCAGGGACATGATTAGACATTTTGAACAAAAGCTCACTAAAACTTAAAAATTCTGTGGGGAATAGCCTCTGGATGGCTACACTAAGCTAGTCTCTCTGCCATGCCACCCCTGCCCTCCCCCGCCACTGGGCCACTCCAAAGCAGGTGAACCTAGTGGGTCTGACCAACCATTCTTCCACCCTCTTCAGATCCTGATATCAAGTTGTAGACATGGTATACCTGTACATCATTAATTACAGCTTCCAAAATACCCTAACGAACTACAGGTTGCTTGTGGTAGTTCTAAAATTTGGGCAGGAACTAGGCTGGCACAGAACCCATCCTCAATTAGAAGCTACAGACAGCTCTGAAGTCCACTCCCACCATGGACCTGAACTTCCTGGGGCACAGCTGAGAGTCTGGATCAGGGATCTAGCACTCATTAAGAAGCTTTAAGAAAGTTTCAGTAAATACTCTGCCCAGAAGTTACTAGCATCAGCAGTGTTGCTGCCTAAAAAGCAATCTAAACTATTAATTAAAAAACAGAAGCAAAGGCCAAGCAGCAACCCACTGAGGGAAGAAAAGCCTTTGAATATCAGATAGAAATGGAGGAAAGGAACTCATCACAGAAACTCTTTAAAAAGACAAGTAAATGCTTTCAACAGAGCAGAACAGATTTTACGTTTAGACCTTTGCAAAACAAAGCACTGCATCCCTCCAGGGCTTTAAGGGCACACTGAGGTATGTGGGTGTATTTTGTTCTGCAATTATGCAACAAATATTATTTATTTCTTTAAAATGTTAGTAAGAAATACAGGGGAACAGAATAACTTGAAACTCTGAACAAAGAATAAATCACTTAAATTTGTTATATGCAAATAGTTGTGTGCTACATACACATTTGTGGTTTTTCTTCACCCAGTTATAAACAAAAAGGTTCACTTTCCAGATTTAAAAAAACTCTTATACATATGGTATTAACACCAAAAAAGTTAAATTTCCTGTGAACTGAACTGGTCTACCACAGTCACTGTTCAACTTGCAGGACTGTTAAAGGTCCTTCCCTGTATAACTTTTAGTGCATACTGAAATGTGCTGCATCAGCAGGTTTTGTAGTTTGGTAAGAATAGTGCCGGTTACAAACAAAACCCTAAATTTAGAATCCCTGAAATATTCAGCTTCCAGTGATCTCCATTAACCTATCCATGCATAGGAGTGCAGATTTAGCTCTGCTTAATGGCCAGATATCAATTACAGACTTTTTTGGGATCTCTCATCAGCCTACTGCTCCCTGTTGACTAGGAAAAACATCAAAAGGAAAAGAAAACCAAGAAGAGATGAGAAAACAAGCAAGATTTGACTCAGGAGCTATTTGTTTGTGTGTACTCCCTCTCTGCAATGGACAAAGGAAAGACTCTACAGAATCATTGTTATCTACATTTTAAAAATTAAAATACAAGCCAAAATAGATTACATCATTTATCAACTTTTCAACTGCATTTGTCTTTTCCAAGCATAGCAGTTCTGACTGCTTGAATAGCTTTGTGAGATTTCTGGGTTTCAGATAACTGAATGAGCGCGCAAATATTTGGGTATCCATACAGCTACATCTAGTTATTCTAAAAATGCCTTGTCTTTAGCAAGCTACAGAAGTGCCACACATTTACATTTCTACCTACAACCCTTACAGTTAGTGATAAAACTTCAGCTGTTGTTTTCTGCAACTCCAAATGTACTGTTTGATATATGCATTTGCTATATGGTTGGTGTCCCATAAATAGTATCCTATAAATTGTTATCTACTAGGAAACAAGCCCATCGCAAGGCAGACCATTTTTGAAGGACAGTAGATACTGGAAAGGAAGTATACAAGTTCTTATGTGAGCTCCACAAGGACAGTTTTTTGGATTCAAGTCCAAAATGAAAAATGCTTTTAGAAGACTATTCCCTACTTTCCACTTCACAGTGCTACACAATATGGCACTATTCATTTGATTTTTCTGTGCAAAGGAAGTTGAGAACTAAGCAGAAATGAGGGTATGTAAGGCCAAGATTAGCATGCACTCAGTAATCCAGAACGCAAAAGCTTGCACTGTTGCACTAACTATCAGGAATTCTTCTGTATTAATACACCAGGCACCCACCTGCATTTCAACTTGCAGTCTAGAAGGGCCACATAGGAAAACAGCATGCTATAGCAATAGCATGCTGCGTACACTTAAAAAAAAAAAAAAAAGTGTAGCCAAGTGGAACGTTAAAAGGTAAGCACCATCCTTGGCAGCCTCCAATATGAATTATAGGATTTTTCTAACCTATTTGGCAAGGTGCTTTGGGACAGGACAATTTTGCAGCATTGAGTACAAAACCAGCTCCTATATTAATAAAGCCAGTTGCAAATATTGTCAGCAGCTTTTTTTTGCATCAGAAACTAAATCTGGAGAGGGAAGAATCATTCTACATATACTTAGGCGCGATTGATGCACTCTAGCTAAAATTATTTCTTTCAACATGCAATTGGAGCAGTTGGATGACCCCCAGCTGGAGTTGGCTTGAAAGCAGAGTTACTCTAGAAGCATACCTGTTTGAACTGGGGGTAGAAAAAATATCAATGGCTGGTGTAGTCATTAAGCTTCCTGCTGCAGTTGACACAGGAGAAGCTGCTGTTGTTAAAGAGGTATGAGGTTTCTTTGCAAGTTCTTTTAGACGTTGTTCCTGTTGGAAAATTGAGCTGGCATAAGAAATCCAGAAACAAGATTTGTTTATAGGGCACAGAGGTACATAAGAAAAAAAACTGCCTAGAGAATTTTTACTCACTGCATACATCAGCGCATTTTTTTGTTGGTTTGTTTTGAGGTTTTTGTTGTTGTTTTTTTTAAAATACACACACACATTCTTTGTATACATAGAAAGATAAACATCTATAAAGAATAAGAGGATGTTCCATATCTTTGAAACACAAGTTAATTGATAAGCCAATATACAAAAAGAATACTATGCAATCCCTACAGTTCTTGAAAATGTAATACTAGCTAGCAAGTAAAATGCTATACATCATTTGAGGATTCTAACAATTTAAGAAGGTGCAGATATTAGTAACATATTTACTTGATTCTAAAATGAAGCTTTCCCCTCATTTAACATGGTGGAGGGAGGGTCCCTTGACTTAAAATCAAATGCCAGGGAACAGGGGCAGCAGCTGCTGCAGCTCCAGCTCCACCCCTGCACAGATTTAGTGTCATAGCTGCTGCCCGCCCTGCCCCTGCATCCCGCCATCTCCCTGCAGCATCTACCCCCCTGTCCCTGCTGATCCTCCACCTGCCCCTCTCCCTCCCCCCTTGCCTTTCCTCTGTCAGCAGGCTATAAGCACACTGCAGCCTAGGGTCTTAAGCCTAACTTGTAGAAGCAGCACTCACAGGAAAGGCAGAGGTGGCAGAGAGCAAGCTGCTTGACCTCCCCCACACCACCTATAGCCCCCACTGCTCTGCCCCCCCTCCAGTGATGGGGGTATAAATTAAAGATGGCCCACCTGTAATTAGGTTCTTTACATGAAAAAAGTATAACCAGTCTATACATTTTCCATACATAGAACCTAATTATTGGTGGTGAAGGGTCTTACATTCAGGATTATCTTAAAATTTGAGAAACAGTACATAGTTAAATAATCAACCTTACTACTGGATAAGACGACATGCTTACCTTTAAAGCTTTTAAACGAGCCTGTTCTTCCTCTAACGCCGCTTGCTTTTCCCTTTCATCTACTTTAGTGAGAGACAGGCCAGTACTTGCAAGGGAAGAGACTGCATTGGAAAGGGTAGTAGCCCTAGAGTAATTGGACAAAGGGAGGGAAAAACTGGCTGTTCATGCACGACATGGGATGGGAACACTCGATTAAAAGATGCTTTGCTTGCTTCTCAGATCATTTACAGAATGTGCATTTTTAAGCCAATAACATACTTGTTGCTGACTCTTGTAAACTGTTTTGTAAGTGGTTTTTGGTGATATCTTTTATTGGACCAACAATAGTAGGAAGAGTTGTTAGATAAGAATTTGGGTGCAAAAGTGATCTGAAGTAATTTCACATGAGTTCATGCTTGTAGTTTTGTTCTGTTTCTCTGCTAAATTGTAAACTGAATTTTCACAGATCTGATGTGCACATTTTGTACACACATAAGAAAGTTTTAATACCTTAGGTACTATTTGTAAGTAAATACACTTTGAACAAAATTCAAAATTTTAACATAAACCAGATATTAAAATGAGTCTTTGGCTGGAAACAGACACTGCCCAATAAAGAGAATCAACTGTGTTCCAGCACAATTGATCCACTTTAAAAATCGGGTGAAACATTGCCCCTTGTCCCACCCCTTATGATGCAATCCTAGGGGCAATGTGATCTCCTTGGTTTGCCCTCTAGCTGTCTCCTTGCTGAATGGAGAGGTCAGGCTGAGCACAGAAATGCTTTCCCCTACTCAACCAGACTCACTTCTGTGATTGCTGGGGACTGGTCTGACTGAGTAGGGAATCCCGATGTTCCCCACATATGGAAAAGCACCCCAGATGCCTTGGTATATGTATTGTTTTATTTTGTTTTTTTTAATTTGATGACAAGTTGAGAAATAATGCAAAGAAAGTGATATGTACAAGTAACATATAAGACTAAACATGTTACATTGTGTTTGTATACCACACTTTTCCCCACAAAAAAAATTAGCCTTTGAACATCAAGGTGAGTTTGAGTGGGGCAGCTGATTTTCTGCCCAGGATAGGCAGCAGAGAAATGAGGTAAGATAGCTGTTGCTGATTTTAATTCTATTCCCTCCAGTAGCCACAAGGCAGCAGGGGCAGAACCCAGCAGGAACAGGATGCAGTTGCACTCTGTTTTGCTTCCTGCTCCACCCGAAGTTTAAAACCAACTATGTGGCAGCAGCAGTGGCATTTCTATTCAGGAAGTCAGTTGACTTCATGGCTCATTATAATTTATCTCCTTTCAGTTCAATCTTCACTCTATGGGTGTTAACCTTCTCACCTTTTTAAACAGTCTTGATGTTCCACTAATCAAAGTATCCTTTCTTCAGCAATGTCTGTTAGTAGAAGAGACCAGGAGTAACTATTTCACTGCCCTGCACACTATTTTTAAGCTCTTTGGACTTCATGGATAGGTCTAGAATTTCAGTCATTGTCAGCAGCTAGTTTCAGCTTTTGTTTGAGTGGCCAACAGCTACTAACAGTTCAGCTGCAAAAGGGTTAATACTGTACTTCCTGGCTGTGCAGAAGAGAGTGAGGGAGCTGGAGATTATACTCTGTCCCTGCCTTCCCAAAGAACAAGGGCATGCAGTACAAGGGAAGACAGTTTAATGTTTAATTTAAATTAGGAGCTCTCCTCAGTACTGTGGTATTTATCATAGGTTTTGCATGACCTGCTCATGATTTTATATCCAGAAAAAGAACCATGTTTTATTAAGTGTTTAAATAGTGAACAGCCACAGATATTAAAGTCTTTAAGGTATGCCTGCATGTTGAGTACATTTCAATATCTAATAGTGCAACCTAGATAAGGGTAGCTTTCCAAGCAATAAGCACCATGAGTTCCACAGCATTTACTTAAGTTCTATCATTACATGTAATGTAAAGACACTTTTCCAACAAGTTATAAAAGCCACTCACAACATGCAGAGGGCCTGTTTCTGTACTGCGGCAGCAATGTCATGTTTATGGCATCGTTTAGAAGAAAGGGATTCTAAAGTAACCCATCTATCAGTTGTGTAACAGTAATAGTATACATACCTGCTTGCAGCTGTGGAGTCTTTGATTTTCTTCCCTTCCAAAGAGGCTAAATGTTGTTCCAAAGCATCAAGAAGACTGCTTGGTGCCTGCAAGAGAGCAGTGAAGGAATAGATGTGAAAGATCCAAAACAAAAAACAGACAACAGCTGAAAGAAGCAGTTAATACCCTATTCCCACAGTGCTTGAAAGTATAAATCGAGGGGAAGTAGAAGTGTCTAAAAAAACCAAACAAAGAAAAAACCCCATAAAGTAATGCTAAAATTTCACTTTCAGTAGAGAAATCATTGAGCAAAGCATTTAAAGCATCAGGCAACACAGTATTCACCATCTTCCTTTGGTAGTGTTATTGGTCATGATGGTTCATTATCAAAAACTACTGAATGAAAATGTGAAAAAAGTGAACAGTAAGAAAAGGCACAAAGAAAAAGTTGAGTAGTCACATTTCAAAGGACACTAAATACAGGAAGCTGGACCAAATCTGAAGCATGCGTATCCTCTGCAAGTCATCATAAAGACTTAACTAACATTTTGAAGCCTTCTGCTAGAAAACTGCCACATTGCTAAATTTTAAACTATTTGCAACTGCTCCATTCTCCAAGTCCACACAGTCAGATCAGTTTATCATGCTTTTAAACAGCTTTTAAAAAGCTAAGGATTGTGTTTAAAACTTGCATATTTAATTGTTTGACTTACATCTCTTGAAAGCAGAAAATAAAATTGAGTTTAAAACAGAATCCTTAACTTAAAAGCAGAACTGATGTACAGAATATAAGTCAACAGTAAACAACTTAAATTCTTATGTATTAGTATCCTGAGCACTGGAGAACACTAGTCTATAAAGAGGTGCCACTCTGCCTGCCTAGGAATTAGAATTAAAACTTAAATCATGAACAGACAACTTATGCAAAAAAGCATAAATGAAAGACACAATGCCAAGTTTTTCTGATTATGCAATCTAGAAACCAACATGCCACGCACTGACACATGCATACTTTATCTACCTGAGAAAGATCTGGAATGTCTCCTCTGTCAATTCCAACTTGCTGCAATAAAATAAATACAATGAGCTTCAGAACCATCTTTCTGATTGAACATTAAAGTCTTATAAGCAAAGAGAAATCATGTTAAAGTGAAATAATACAGGAAAAGCAAAAGCCATGTGCAATTGTGGTTCGGCCTGTAATGAGATTAATTTGGTTGTATAAAAACTGAAACCAGTTGTTTATTAAAATGTACATGCGGTTGTAATGAAGTTGGAATAAAAATTCTCAGGGTTTAACAGTGGTTTGGTTAAGCCCTTCCATTAAGGTCCACAAGAAAAGGTTTTGAGAAAGCCAGGAAGTTCAAGACTGAGATACCAGGGAGTCTCATCTCTCAAAGTAGTCTATGGAATTTGTGCACTACTCACATACAGCACAGCTGGAAAGAAATCAACTAATGGAACTGACATAACCTATTTGTCTCTTGAAGATTACAATGTACTCTACATGATATATTAAATGGACATCTTTTACTTTAAGAGCTGGCACTTCTGCCATACAACCATGATGGCAAGGGTTACCTCTGCAACTTTGAGGAACTCTGAAATCCTTGTCATTCTAGTGAGAAACTTCTTATAAATGTCAAGACCTTCTTTGCACTGGTTCTTTTTCATGTCAAAGTATTTTTCTGTAAAAGGGAAAAATACTCAAATCACATAAGACATTAAGCATACAGCATATGCTTTCCGTTTCAAATGTATACAAGTAACAGCTGTGACTTAATACAGAAAGATATCCAAAGACTTGTTTCTCCTGTCTTGTTCATTGTGGAAGTTGCTATGAAAGCCTTGGTTCAATCAGGGATGGAAAACAAGTCAGTCAGTCAACTCTCAGTCAATGTTTGTACATTCTTTCATCCTGTACAAACTAATGATTTTTAAAAAAACAACTTGATTGCTGGAGAGATGCAGCCTAAGGTGTTTAACAATTCACTTTTCAGATAAGTGTATGAAAGGAACATGAGGGTCAAAACTATACAGCTACCCTGAAATACCTGGTCGTAAGTGGGACTGTCAGGTTGGAGGCAAAGTAGAGGTGCACCACAAACAAAAATCAGAGATGCATGAACTTTTGTAAGCAACAGTTGATATCAGATACTCTTAAGATCTGATTCTACCACCTGCCTAACTTCAGACTAATGTGGCTCAACTACCACTCTCTGCACATAGTTGCAGGCTGTTTAGTGGCAACTCTAACAAGGGACACTTACTCTTCCTTCCAAGATCTAAAAATAGGAAAGACAGAACTACTATAGTTTATTAATACTGTATGTTGGCATTGTTACTGGGAAATTCACTGTAGGAACGCCCAGACTATAAAAGTTAGAACCAAAAGGCTAAATTACAAGAAAAGCAAAAACTCTTTAAGACTGCAGTGTAAACGAGTGTCAATTTCGCCATCTGATTCTGCACCATAGTTCTATGGGACAAGCTGAAACAATATTTCCATGCTTAAAAAAAAGCAAGAGGAAATTGCTTATTTCTCTGGACCTTTAAGGATACTTAGTGGTAAAAAGCCTTGAAAAATGAAGACTAAAGTGTTATTTTATTTATGTTCAATGTTTTGGTGCTCTTAAGACACAAGTACAGTCTTTTTTCCTGAAATTAAAGTAAAGTAAAGTACAAATAGCTTACTGAAACAAGAAGTACTGCAATACTGCAGAACAGAAATATTTACCCAGCAGGTTAATAATTCCTTCATTATATGCTGCAAAGAGTCTGATGGCATCTTTGAAGAGAAGCATGAAGGCAGCATTAATTACACCATTTGTAAGCTCATTGCTATTGACCTAGTGATATTAGAAAAAAGAAAAAAAAATATATGTGTTTAACTGCACTGGACTCAACTTACCAGAAAAAAAAACTCAGATAAGTTCCAACATTATTCACTTGTGAAATCAGTGAAACAATTCATATTTTATTAATAGCCAGCTGAATAGAGGATCAGCAGAGGCCAAACTAAATAAAGTCTGCCCACCAAAATACATGACTAACAGACATTGCAGATCAAGACAGCAGAACTGAAAAAATTCAGTAATGTGTTTTAAAACCTCTTTAACTGCCTGCACTACTTATCAACTCAACACGACTCACTGGATATGGTCACTTCATGATTTATGCACCAAGTGGAAGATATTTTTTGCTATTCAAACCAAGCATATTAGGAGTAGTTAAAATATTGTATCATCAGGTTTCACAGTGAACTCTGTAAAGGAAAAAATCCCACCCTTTTACTTGATGGTATGACTGATGGGTAAAACAATTAAACTTACATTGAAATCAAGAAGCGCATCCATCTGATTTTGTATAATTGGTACAGTTTTGAGAAGTTTTTCTGTGTTCATTGTTCTCATGACTCCATCAGCCCTATAATACAAACACAAGTAAAAAATTCCCCAATTGAATTTTCAAAAATAATTTCTACTGAAATGAAGTACAAGAATGGATCAAAACAGTAGTTACAGTTCAACAAAGAAGGTAGACATGTGATATTTAATGTTGTATGGCCAAAGAGCTGTAAGAATAGACATCAGAAAAACATTTCATGGCCAGAAAGTAGTACTCATGATGGAAGCTTCAAAAACTGATCTGTTCCAAGACTCAGAGAATTCTTAACACCAAAATGTAATGGTTTTCGGTGTGTGCAATTCATTAGGCGACTACATAAACATTACTGGCTTTATAAAAATTTGCTTCAAAAAACAAAATAATTCAAGTATCTGGAAGAGTCTTCTCAAAAGTATTAAGTATTTCTAAAAAATTACTTACACTTCTCTCTCATCATTTAAAGTTCTGTTTCAATATTGCTTAAAATAAACACATTATATAAAATGCATTAGTTAAGTGTATCAGCATCTTTTAAAAAGTTCTCTTTAAATGTCAGAACTAAAAAACACGCTGGTATCTTGCAACTGAAAGAACACTGAAATCAAGTCTTACAATTAGATTTAATTATGTACCAATTAATACTTGTAGCTTTATTTTTAACTAGAGTATCATTGTTATTTGGGATTATTTAACTGGTGGATGCTTCAAAAAGATATCCAAAAAATGCATAGGTTGAGAGAAAAAAGGCTAATTCAGGGAGAAAGAACAATGAACACAAGCCATTTATAAGAAAAAACTGCTCTCTCTGTTACTCACTAACATCATAAAAAAAAAAGTGAAGATAAAAATTTTAAGTGCCTTGATACTGAAGTCTAAATTTCTACTTCAAACTTTTAACTTGCAAATTAAATTCATAGTCTTCTAGTCTCTGCAGGGAAAAAAAAAAAGCTGCTTAGGATCACTATAGCTGAAGAAGCCAAATGGGAAAAAGTAACCCAAACTGGAAGATTAATATATTGCTTCATATTAGAATTCTGAACCAGTAGATGTGCAGGGATTTGTGATGAGGCCTGAGTATAAGCCTATCTTATAGAAGGGGAAGGCGAGGGCACCATAAGGACTGGAATCTTTTCTATCCTTCAAGCTTTTTAAACTACTAAAGGCACTAATGAATGTGACTGGGGGGGAGAAGGAGTCATAGCTAAGAGGTCTTGGGGTGACCCAACAATCCTATGGAGAACCCAAAAGGGATATGGCATGGAAGTTGCAGAAAACTATGAATAAATGCATTTCAGAAATCTAGCTACTGTAGGTTGAGGAAATAGAGCATGCCATGGACAAGAGGTCAATGCACTGACATGGTTTTCAGATGCATCCCTAGGGAACAAATATCAAAGTTCTAATTAGAATATTAACTAGTCCTGAAACAAGTGCCACTGAAGTAGCAGTTATCAGGCAAAGCAGTCAGTGCTGAAAAATTCCATTTAGCTTTATAAAAGATGATCTAGCTGAAGCTTTCCTGTGTTGGTGTAAGAAGGGTCCTACCTTCAGCCAAGCCATTTCTTTTAGCTAGTGTCAGCCAGCCAGTACTCAGGCTCTTGGCTATGACGACACTGGGTACAAGTGCAGGATCTGGCAACTGTGTAGTGACCCTGCTGAGCAGAGAAGGCAAAAAGCTAGTGGGGCCTATATTGAGAGAGTCACCAGGTCGTATGCCACAAGCACCTGGCCCATTACAGAACTATCAACTTGTGATGTCACATCTCATTTCAATTTTCTTCGGCATCATGAGTGCCAAGACAGGAAAATGAGTTCTGGCATGCAAGGGATAGGAAAGGTATCTGCTAGCAAGACTCTAGAGTCCCCTCTAGATTAGGGATGTAAAAAAATTAAACTTAATAATTTAACCAGTATGTGCAGTAACAACTGGTTAGTTTACTAGTTCTCCTTTGGCTCAGCATCTGTGCAGTCTGGCAGGGAAGGGTGGGGGGGAGGAACTGCCCTGGCAGGAATCAGAAGGCAGCAGGGTATGCAGAAGTGAGGGAGAGAGGAGCAAAGAAGGAAGAGGGACTAGTACTCAAAGCTCAAGAGGAAGGCGGCCTCATGACTTATAGTTAAGCAGTTAGCTGCTGGTTCACAGCCCTCTAAGGGCACAGCTTCAGGTGGGCTGTGTTGTCTGGCTGGACTTGACGACTCTTCCCCAAAGTTAAATCTCTAGGATCAACTCCCAGCAGCAGCCATGTCCAAGCTACTGTGTTATCAGTTAATTGTTTAACCAATATTACAGGTGGTTAAACAAATATTTTTAGATGACATTTACATTGCTACTCTAGACCAGGTTTGACCAACCTTAGGTATATTTTATGGACGTCTCCACTTACAAAAGTTGTCCTGCAACACTATTCTACATAGCTCTATCCTTGACCGATTACTCAAGTTGTCTGAAAACTTCGAGTCATCTGCTAGCAAGGCCTCAACACCTGAAAGATGAATGGCAGTAAGGAATACATTAAGTCTGATACTGAATGACCTCCTGATATAGCATAGATGATGCCTGTTTGCAGACAAATGTATAGCTGTCATGTTGCCTGTCAGCACTTGAATGTTAAATTCCTGCTTCTCTTAGAAATCTTGGTTGCCACAGGAATGGCCATGATTTCCAGACCACGCAAGTCTAGGCAAGCTTCTTAAGGGAGCCAAAGGCCTTGAATAGGGACAGAAGTTACATAAACCAATTTAACTGATCAGAAACACCCCCTTTCCCTGCTCAAACTTATGGCTGGCTGTGACTGTGGACTTAAAATTCCAGAGGCATCTGGAAGCAGCCCCTGCCTGTGCTTGGAAGCAGGAAGAGTCCTGCTGCTCAGAGTCTGGACTGCGAGTCCCAGAGATCTCAGGCAGCAGGAAGAGGAAGTGAACACACAGCCCATGTCATGCTTTAACACCTCCCAGCTCCTGGCCTGAGCCACTGCAGGTATGTGACTACATTTCCTGCATCAAAATTAAATGCATGTCCAGTTATTTCTCAGTTTAATCTCTACAGCAAAGGCTGAATCAATTCAGCCTTGGGCTTTTTGACTGTCTGTACTTAGCCCTTGTGTACAAAGGTGATTTAGACATGCCCTGCACTTGCCACCTGCCTCTGCACTTTCATTTACAGGAAAGTCTGTTAGTGCACCTCAAGTAGGTCTTACCATGAGCTTGAGGAAAGCTTCTTGCAAAAACCATGCACATGCTTATTACACATCTCTTGGGCAGATGCATTCATTTTCAGCTACCCTTTCATGGGCTGTATGCCAAGCCTGACAAGCTTTCACCCAGACACAAAACCACATGTCTAAGTAGTACAAAATATAGTTTTCTATGCCGTTGGATGAGTGTGAAGTTGATTGATAGAAATCCACAATATAGTCTGGAATCTCTTACGATAAAAAGTTTTCAGGTTAGTGAGAAACTAAACCAAGGAAAATCTACTTAATAAGGTCAATGGGGTTTAAAGTAAACTAGCTACATAATCATACTAAGTTGCAAAAGGGCAAATGGGCGCTGCCTGGGTTCCGTCTTTCTGCCATCCGTGGTGAAAAGGATCTGAAGACAAGGTAGGCCCACTCTACCCTTCATGTCCTTGGACAAGGTGGAAGGTATGAGGACATCCATGACAACTGACCCTACTACCCAATCTCACGTCCATGAGAAGGATGAACACCAACATGGACAATTACTGGAGGTCTGCTTTAGTTCACTGGTTTAGCCATTACATTATGGCTGGCAGAAAGACTGACTAGCTGCTTTAGATGCAGCTTCCATGAAAGCTACTCTGCCTCTATTTAAAAAAATGGAGTGGACAGTTCTACCCTGCTCCAAGAAGAAGCCATATACATGTATGTGTACGTATGTACTTGAAGCCATACACATTTCAAGACCAGATACTCGTACAAATCACTTTCAGAAAGGACGAAGAACAGAAGAAGGTAAAAAGGATGTTTACCCACACCTTTTCCAAATGAACTGTATAGAGAGACTCCAAGGCTGCCAAACTGTAGGACTGTAAGACAGCTTTGTATGTGTTATGGAACACCTTTTTTGCCATAATTAGGATCTTTACAAACTGCTACACAGGCAGTTTTCCATTATTTTTTCTTTTAACACTATTCCACAAAAAGCTTCTGAAGTAACACATTAGCTGGCAAAGATAACAGCAGACAGCAAAGTCTTTTTCAGTCCTATGTACCATCTATCTAATGGCATAGGAAAGATTCAAGAACACTGTCATTCACTTACACTAATGTTTTTAGTGCATGAATCATGGAATATAAACCAACACCCACATAAACCCTGAACATTAAATGTTCAAATACAACTCATTAGCATGCTTTGCAACACAGATCTTTAAGGTAAGGAAAAACTGCAGCTCTTACCCTCTTTTTACTTTTGTAAAATCAAAAGCCACTTGTCTGTAAGAAACTGCTTTTTCATTCAGATACCTACTATACCTTCTGATAAATGTGGACATGTCATATCCTAAGAAAGAGGAAAAAAGGTTTCAGCAACTTATTCTTCTGCTTTTTTAATTAATAAAAAGTTCTGACCATGGAGCAAGATGCACATGATTGTTTTTTGTCCACAGCTTTCCCTTAAAATTTGTTTTATACCACTCATCTCAAAAGGATTATAAGACTGCCCTCAATTCTGTGAGAAAAATTATACATTTTCTGTTAAGAGCTGTATATTTTATAACATGCACCTTGCTGCATATACCTAAATTTCTCCCCCAAATATCTCATGCAAGCAATTTAGTCTTCTTGACCACCCTAAGCAATTATTTTCCCAGAAGCGGAGTAAGCATTCTTATACAAAGTTTTTGGATATTAAGAAACATAAAACAATTCTTTACATAGACATCATGCAGTGTTGCTAGTCCAATGAGTAAGTTTCCAGAACCAATACCACAGTCCATATTTACTCCTTTTAAATTAGAAAAAAGGGCCAATGCCATTGATGTTTATGCCTATACAAGGGTGCAGGGGCACCTAAAATTGATAAAAATGCTTCCTTGTGGACACAGGAAGAGAAGTTCTACTCTTGGCTCTTTTCTCAAAAAAAGGAAGTAGGAGACCCAAATCTTTAAAAGTCTAAAGAAGATCTGTCCCTATAATTCTATACTACTACCTTGAAAATTAAGTTGCAACTTGATGCCCGTGCCAAGTCCCATTTACTATGAAGCCAGAATATGCAGATTTTACTACAATTAACAAATTGGAACAGCTACATAACAATTGGTAGATGCCCCCACAACACTGTCCACAAGAAAATTTAGCAGCTTTAAGGACTGTTCCATACAGGAATTGAATCACACTGAACTGCAGAAAAAGATTACCACACAGGGACCAATAGTCATTGGGATCCAACATCAAATTTGTTATATTTACTTTGCAAAAAGTTCTTGGCTCAAGACAGAAAAATCTACTTTTACAAACTGCCAAAGACTATCATTCTGAAAAACTATTCACCTGTTAAAATGCATTACTTGGGCAGCAAGTGGAATTTTCCAAGACTGAATCCAATCATTGGCTAATTAATAAATTAAAATGCAGTTTCATGTATGCAGCAATGTTTAAGTTCTTTGGTACAAAAAAATATATCTTCAATCTAATCACATCAGGTGGTGAAATAAACCATCTCTTCCCTGTAAGCTCACAAAGTGCCCAACAGAACAGGCTTCCAGTTAGCCTGGACATTATGCCCTACTGTAGCAACCATTGAGTTGCTTTCTTTCTTGTTTGAAAGCACTTCTGAACTAGGAACTGATCCATTTTTTGTATATTTATTCATAATTAATCCTACAAAAGCAAACAAATGCTAGGTGAGCACATTTAAGAAAATTTAAGTACTACCAAAAAATTCTTGCTTTCGCTAACCCCAACAAGCTTCAAAAACAGTCTCCAACATTAAAGTTTTCATGCACCAAGTCAACATTTTACCTTGTATGCTATTCAGTTTCTATTAGTAGCTAATACCATATGCATCAATATTCAGAGCCATTAGGAATAAAATGACTAAGATTCAAGACATTCCTGGTTTCTCTCCCCGACAAAAGTTAATGTTTATGGTAGTCTGTCTTAGAATATAGCAGTGAGCTAAACTATACATGGCATGCCATAAGAGAACTGCATGTGAAGCTGATGTGCATTTAACTGTTGAAGCAATTTTCACAAGTTACAGATCCAGCTGTAGAAAAGCATTTTTTTTTTTTTTTTAAATGTACACAGAATGAAGTCACCTTACCTTGCAACCCACTTTTGTCTAGGAAATTGCTCAAGTTAAACAATGTGTTCCTGGAAGCTAGATACTGGATAAAACGCTAGAGGAAGGGAAGAAATGTTGAATAATTTAATAAGATATTGCCAAGTTGCAATTTTACATAAGTACACACTCACTGTTTTGTTACTAGGTTGGTAAAGCCCAATGTTGAGTGTATTTGGTTCAACTCATATTTACCCTCAAACCTATTTGAAAAAAAATAATTCAAAACTGTTCAAGGGCAAGAACATCCTGACTGTACCATTTTTAATGTTAAAGTGTCAAATTAAAATATTTGGCTATCTTGATGGATATAATTAAAATAAAGGCTTCTGTGACTGAAGGTATCTATCTTGTGCAACTACAGACTTCTACAGGCAGAAAACTTAAGTTTTATAATTTTCATTACACACACTGAACTACATTTTAAAATTTAAGCCATCTGAGCCTTTAAGCCAAATTTGCCTTAAGAAAATGTGTGGCAACTTCTAAATCAATGGTCCATGACTGCTAGCCATCTCAAGAAAAATGACATGTTGCATGACATGTACAGGAGGCAGGATATATCTTGAATGCACGTTTAAATTTATACATTAGAAAGGTTCTTGAATTTGTTGTAAAGAAGAATCATTCAACTATAGGTTTTGAATACATTTGTTAAATAAAAAAACAAAAAACACAGTTTTCTGTACTTAACATAGCTGTATTGAAACATAACTGTATTAGACAGTCAGGTAAATGTTTTAAAATTTAACCTAACTATAGAGCAGAGGTTCCCAACCACCAGGCCATGGCCCGGTACCAAGCTGCGGCAGGTTGGCTGCTGGGTTGTGGCACAAGCGCTTGGCTCAGACCCCAGCCTGTTTGCCTGGGTCAGCAGCTTCCAGGGTTAAAGCTGCATGGTGGGGCAACCCCAGGAGGGAGGCAGCCAGCTCTGTGCACCCTGTTTTACTCCTGCCAGGCTGCAGTATAAAAAAGGTTGGGAACCACTTCCGTAGAGAGAACACTGATATCAGTTTTCTTAGATACAGATCTGCTCAGCACTTCGAAAATCTGAAAGAGTACACATTAAGCCACAAACAATAATTCTGCAGTCAGCAATACACTAGAGCAGACTAGGATTTTAGGATAAAAATTATATTTTTCAAATGCTTGCAGGATGCTCTACACCAGTGGTCTTCAACCTTTAAGTAGGAGATCACCTTTGGCATTTAAAAGCAACTCAAGGTCTACCATGCACCACTGCCACCGCCTCCCCAGCAGGTAAGTCTGTGGGGAGGGAAGGCCAGGGGGGACAAATAGAGGGAGAAAGAATTTGGGGGTGCACCTCTGCAACAGGCAAGTTCTACCCAGCTGGGGCCCCACTCAACTTACCCCTGCACCTGCCTCTGTGGCACCATCCCTCACCACAGGGGACTCAATCTAGCCCCCACCTCTTTCTTCCCCCACAGACTGACCTGCTGGGCTGGGGCATAAGCATGCATGCACTTGGGCACTCAGCCCCCTACATCAGCCTCGGATTGACTCCAAGAGGCTCCGTGACCACTGCTCTACACAAACTTCTAGAAGTTAACTGAACTTGTTGTTTTTCCTAAAAAGAATCTGATTTTTAGTTTTCATATTTTACTTATTTCCAGCTGAAAGAGGGTCCATCCTAAGAGGAATATTGTTAGCCCACAATCTTTTTATACAGCCTGGACTAACCAAATTAGTATGGCATTAAAGTGACCACATTGACTCTTGAAGTTAAACCTTCAAATTGAAAGAAAAAAAAGCACTTGCATATAGACAGTGTTAAATTCCTGTTAGGACTTTTAAATTAAGTGTTCTAGGTATCCAGTATTTATGTAGCTGAACAACTGCTCAAATTCTCAGAAGAAATATCCTAGAAATGATGCAGTTGAATGTGGGTAGTAAAATCAGGCCAAATTTAAGTGTTTTTCATACAATTGAAGTGTCTAATGATTGTATGAGCAGTTTGCCCCCTGGTGGCTAATTCTAGCTTCAAACAAAAGGTCCTTTAAGTCTACAGCTGAGCCCCATCTATATTCATTCCACTTGGCCACAACCAAATTCTAACAATGTTTTGTGCCAGGGACACAAACACATACAACAATGCTTCCTTCTGCACTGACACACTCATGCTTACTGTTCCAATAAAATAGGATCCCTTTCCACATAAATTGATAATAAAGTATCATATCCACCTAAAAATATATTTATGTTCTGGCTGCTTTGGTATTTAAGGACCTTAAGCTCTGGGTAGAGAGAAATGCATTATACAAAAAAAAAATAGTCTGAGTCTTTAGAACTCTAAAGCAGTGTGTCAAAATTATTCTCAAGAATGATTATTACTTAAAACATTTGCATTACCTCATTTCCGTACACCATTAAATGATGAGTTGTGATGAGAGACTTGAAGACTACCACCCAGCTACTGTTTGTAGTTCTTTCAAACAAGCTGTCTGCCAGCTGTGGAATATTCACATTCATCTCATTTGTGCACTGGATTAAGTCTGTAATACACAGAGGATGGTTTGCTCTTTTAATATTTCATTTAGTGCTACAGAAAGTTTCACATAATACATACAGGCTCAGTCCACAGAATGAAAAGATGGAAATGTACACTTCCAATTCTTTTTTTTTTTTTTTTAATTTATGGCCCACCGAGAACTCATGAGCTGCATATTTTAGTCACTGGAAAATTTCATTCATGCACAGAATATACACAGAAGGCAAGATAAAAGTTGTGCATTAGAAGTAAACTGAATCAGAGATCTGTTCAAGACTATATACACTATGAATAAAGCAGAGCAAGCTTTTCCATGCTACTTTTTCTTATACCTCAACCTTATTGTAAAGAGCCTTTTTTTTTTTTTTTTTAAATGATTAAGATGGTTATTCACTTTCCAAGCCCTTCCATCTTTTGCCTTTACTTATACTGTTAAAATACCAATTAAAAATTAACTGCTATCAATTTGGTCACAAATATCCATCTTCTAGAAACTAAAACAATCTATAGTATTCACACAGATTGCTGAAGAGTCATGTAATGGTAACTTTGGGTTAGTGACAAAAAGCCAAAGAACTAGTGGCCTGGATATGAAAAGTCTTGCATAGCAATGTAGTAGGGCTGGAATGATGTTCTAAGCCAGAATGGTCCAGAAAATACAGGAAGTGAGGTTTTGTAGGTTTGCAGGGGGGTTTTTTGTTTGTTTTGTTTGGGGGGGGGGGGGGGGGG